AGTCTCCCCAGTTCTCATGCATGCACCACATGTATCACTCACCAGCAAGACACAACTTAAAATAGTTAATCGGTGATTATTTGATTACAGATTACACACACACAAGCAGATTTATAATCCTGAATTTCCTGCCTGATTATTCCTATCAAAAATTCTCAATATTTCTATTATTGGTCAACTTGGCTAGGGCTCCCAATAATTGTAGTTCAGCAGATCTGAAGAGCCCATCCTTGACCAAAGTGGTTTGGTATTGGCTGGAGATGATGTGAGACAGTTAAACAAGAAAATACAGAGTGTTACGTCACTAAAGCCCACTTATAAGACCTACTCTGCAGTTTGTGAGATGCTAATTCCAAATAAATAGCAGGGTAATCCTAGGATCCAAAGGAAGTATCTTTATCACTAGTGTAAATGTCTTCGTTCATCGAACATAAGTGGGAAGCAAGAATTTCCAGCATCCTGCATCATTGCTTGGGATTGCTGGGAGTAGATGTTTGCCAACTTCTGCAGGAGCACATGTGTTCCCCGTAAAGGAAATAAGATTTGTAATCCTTTCAAGACTAGAGCAGTTATGTGCTTGCTTGGGAGAAAGCTCCTGGTTAATTTAATTTTGAGTAAGCATACTAGGGAGAAAGTTTTTCTTCTGCTTTTAAATAGGTGTGTGTATCCTTTGAAGAACCGAGCATGCTGTACTTGGCTGTATTAGACTTGTACAGGTAGAGGAAGCTGTACCTTTGGATTTCAGTGAGCTCCTTCAGAGACCTCTTTCCTTTTATTAAGTTTAAATAGGAAACTGAAAGGGAGTGTATTCAGAAATATGTCACAGTGATTTCACTGAAGCTTGTTCCTAGTAAAATATCTTTATTTACCATAGGCAATTGTTCCTTTACAATCAGTGATAAAGATGAAAAATCAGCATCTTTTTAAACAAGACACAACTTTTAAAATCTGTATTTGTGTGCCCCAAACTAAGCTGTGCAGCTTTCTTAGCATTAACTCTGAAATATAATTTTCCCTGTATTCTGTTCACTTGTCTACCTGCTTTCAGTTTTCTAATGAAAGAAAAAGTATTTGAAAAGATGTTGTTGGAATAGTCAGTGGGTGAAAGGACAATTGATGCATTCATCTTGTTTGCTCTATTCTAATTCTGAGTCCTCATTATTTTATTACTTAAATTACCCAGAAATTTTATTATGTTAAATAGGTGTGGACACCCCACCCTTAAGTTACACGAGCTTGACTTCTCTAATAACACCAATTGGAACCACCAAGTGCCACCAATCCCCAGTCCTCACAGATGGCTCCAAAGGATATGATGGTTGATGGTATTGAATGCCGCTGAAAGGTTTAGCATGCACTGTTCCCCTCCAAGGCCATAAATCCAGAGGCGTTACCCCCCCCCCTCCCTAACAGTGCTTTGTTGCTGTGCCTTTTCTGGATGCTTGTATTAGTCAAGAGGGACAAGGGTCTAATTTACAAGTGGCTGAGCTCATCCCACAGAGAATCCTGTCACCTTCTTCAGGCATTATAAGCTTGAAAGAATCCCAGATGGTATCACAGGATGTTACCTCTGTCATCTCTTGAGACTCTGCCCATCTGACATCCAGCTTGGAGATAATATGAGCAATTTTGTCCTCAAAGTGCTTAGGTAACTGCTCATAAATACAAGAAGGACAGTCTTCCAGTGTCTGAAACACCAAGAGGATTGAGTCACTCTAAAGCTGCTGGTCTGCATTCTCCAGGTGCAATAAGTGCAGAGAAGTACCAGAGAAATATTGGCGCTTCACCACTCTTAATGCTGTGGAATAGGCCCAAAGGTGGATTCCGACCTGTGTCCAGCCACTGTTGTGACTTGTTTTCTGCCAGTATCACTTGAGGCATCCCCTTTTGCACTTCATCTCCTGGAGCTCCTTAGTAAACCGAATAACAAGCCCGGAATCATCACCCATGGAGAAGCTGGTCAGGAGTAACCTTGTTGGGTGCCCTAACAACCTCTGTGTTCCAAAGGTCAATTAGGTACTCCATAGAACTGCCCACTAGCTTCTGGGAAACTCCCCAGGCACCTACTGGAAACCAAGAGGGCCCATAAGGTCCCTGGGGTGGCCAGTTTCATAAGTCTATCCTTCCATGAAGGTCTGTAGTGACCATGAGCCTCAGGGTGATCAGATGGTGATTTTACAATGAGGATTAGCTGGTGTTAAGATCCTCCACTTTCAGATCACATGCAAGTTGCTCCAAGGCAAAAATCAGATCCAGTGTATGCCCCTCCACAATAAGTTGGCACCATGACAACTTGGGACAAGCACATGGTAGTTATGATAGCCATCAAATCCCAACTCTTTTTGACCACCCAAGGCACAGAAGTTATACCCCACACACAAACACACACACAGAGTCTTTGGGAATCCCCCACCAGCCCAGATATGAGGTCAAGGAGCTCAGGAACAGAGCTGGGTGGGAGCAAGGAATCAGTACATCAGCAAGACTTTTAGCTTGTCTCTGGCACCCATCTTCACAAAAAGGACCTCACATCCAGCTAGCTACCTGCAAAACAACACATCTGGGCACCATCAGATTCTCATGAGATAGCAAAGTGACCTGTCCTGGAGTGGAGGCTGGGTTTAGATTTTAGATACAACTTGTACAGATAGAGGAACACCACCATCTTTGCACAGCCAGGTTTCTGTGATGCATGCCAGATCTGCCTGCTCCTCCAAGAGTAGATCATGGAGGAACATGGTCTTATCATACATATTTGACTTTCAGCAAAATCGGCCTGAGTCCATGGACTCCAGCAATCCAGCAACCAGGTCCACGGATGGATGGGTGGATGAATAGAGAAAGAGAGAGAGAGAGAGAGAATATAAAATGATGGATGGATGGATGGATGGATGGATGGATGGATGGATGGAATCAATCAATCAATCAATCAATCAATCAATCAATCAATCCTGGGTTACTAACAGTCTTTACCATTAATCTCCTAAGAAGTCCTTCCCATTTGCCTCTTGTCTGGCTGCGGCTTCTTTAGGAGAATGGGGCTGGTCAATCTATCACCTCTTACCCCTCCAAACCTACTCTTACTAGGCCCTCTCCCTTCCCCAAGTGTTCCACTCCTAGATTTATTCTCTTTCTGGCTCCTAGAGCTCCAGTTCCTGTGTTCTTCCACCCCAAGGAAGATCCACCCCAAGTATCTCCTCCCCATTTTTGCCTCTTATCCACAGAGGGAGATGTTCACCCAGCCAGATTTTCTTCCCATCCCTCATTGTTGGCATTTTGCCCCTTTCCCCAACTGTCCTTGGCCAAGCTGGGTTGCCCCTTCTTTTCAGTCCCAGTCCTATTCAGTCCCTTAGCTGGTAGCAGCCACTCACCATTGACTCTACTATTCAGCTGAATGATGACAATCTTCCAGCCACTTTTTTCTTCTTCTACGTTCCTCTCATAATTCCTCTATTTTTCTTTTTTCCTTCAACATTCAGATTAAACCAACGCTTCTTTGCAGTCCATTTTGCTTCACCTCTGTTGTATCCTTCACTACTGTTCCATAATTACTCCTCTTTCTTCCCATTTTCCCTCTTCTCATTTTCCATCATTACTGTTATCCATCCATTCCTTCACATGGTGTTCCCCTTGGACTGCTCTCAAGCTACCTATGCAAGACTCCTACCTCTCTACCACTTAAAGCAAACTACTGCTGAGGTCTGGAGTTCATTGTCAGCCAAACACTGGCAGCCCTACAGGGCCTCCAAGCTGAGTCCAGGTTCATCCTTCACTTCCATAAGGAGATAGAGTTAGATGGAAGTAAACATCCATTATTAGGTGAGGTAAATATAGTACTATTTTGTGTTTACAATATAAAATCAATAAAAAATAAGATTATAGAATTAAATTGTTGG